CTTTCAGTATTACCTGCGAGTTTTGATTTTTAACGACTGTCATAAAAGTAATTCTTGTGGGGAAAAAGAAACGTGGTGTAAATACTTAATACAGGTGTCAAATTCACTGTAAATTGATCGCATTTTTGTTCGCTGCTAAATTCGCTGACTTTCTTATTGTTAGTAATATTAACATTAGAACGCCCTTTTTGAACATCACTAAATTGGCATATTATTATTAGAATTTATTATGATGATACAACGGCATGTTAAAAATGACCGTTATTAAGTTAATTGTACATTTAATTGACCGTTTACCCATTATTTTCATTTTTAATTGTTTCCATTCTTATAGCATTTCACATATCTCATTTACCATCATTCCGATGGTAAATTATTCCAATTAATTGTGTTTTATTAAAAACCATAGTTTATTTTCAAGGAAGACGGTTGAAAATAGATTTATTTGTCTGCACATTGGTTGTATTTTACACTAGCTCTGTTTAAATTTTTTTATAAAAATAATAAAGCCCAACTGAAGGATCAAGGGTAATTTAATAATCAACATTTTTTCATGGTCGTTATAGTAAAATCTTTTTATAAAAGAAAGACAGTAATCTCCCCTCTAACTACTTCACTATTTCTACAAAAATGCGTTGAAATTTTTGCAATAAACCCGTTGTAAAATAATTCTCGTGGGTAAAATTTATTGATTATAAAAAAAGGCTTTTTTTTTTTAAAATGTGAGATTTTCGAACTTTGATACGTGTTGTTTCAATTAAACAATTAAATAGTAGCATGTTATTTTATTTTATATTTTGTGATAATTATGTAATTACTGCAAATCGTAACAATAACAATAGGCGGCTGATTAACTCTATAGCGATTGCTTCTACGAATATTACATAAACAATTTTGGGCCTTAATTACAATTACTTGGGTGTCATTAACGTGTACTAATTTTGGGTGGTCGGATGATATAAATAATGAGTACCTATGAATCTTCAGGCTGGCTCGTACCATTATTGGACCGAATAGCTAGAAATCCTACTACAGTAGTCTGTCCTGTCATCGATTCGATTGACGACCATACTCTTGAATATAAATTTCGACATGGATACCCCAGTGTTGGGGGTTTCAATTGGAAACTAATGGTTAGTATTACAAAACTCTTTTCGAATTAAAAAAAAATACCAAGTTACTGTAATTTTAACAAAATTAAAAAAATTCTTGAATCATAATTCATTTTCATATAATATACGAACACACGAATTACGTGTACAAATGTAAGTTGTTTATTTAAAGAAATAATAAATGAATATTAACAATTTAAACTCTGACCATTAAGATACTCACCTAAAACTCTCAAGTGATATTTTATTTAAAGGAAATTGAAGCAAACACATTTTTATAAAATAACTTTAGTTACCAAATTGATTTAAAAATACCACTCGATATGTAACTATATAATTAAACGTTCCAAATTGATAAAAAAAAATAACAAATAAAACATTAAAAATCTTAAATACAACATTTCCTTCTCTTTTTTATATGATCAAAGCTTTGTTATAGGAGTAAAACTTTTAAAATTGAAAATTNATTCTTATAGCATTTCACATATCTCATTTACCATCATTCCGATGGTAAATTATTCCAATTAATTGTGTTTTATTAAAAACCATAGTTTTTTTTCAAGGAAGACGGTTGAAAATAGATTTATTTGTCTGCACATTGGTTGTATTTTACACTAGCTCTGTTTAAATTTTTTTATAAAAATAATAAAGCCCAACTGAAGGATCAAGGGTAATTTAATAATCAACATTTTTTCATGGTCGTTATAGTAAAATCTTTTTATAAAAGAAAGACAGTAATCTCCCCTCTAACTACTTCACTATTTCTACAAAAATGCGTTGAAATTTTTGCAATAAACCCGTTGTAAAATAATTCTCGTGGGTAAAATTTATTGATTATAAAAAAAGGCTTTTTTTTTTTAAAATGTGAGATTTTCGAACTTTGATACGTGTTGTTTCAATTAAACAATTAAATAGTAGCATGTTATTTTATTTTATATTTTGTGATAATTATGTAATTACTGCAAATCGTAACAATAACAATAGGCGGCTGATTAACTCTATAGCGATTGCTTCTACGAATATTACATAAACAATTTTGGGCCTTAATTACAATTACTTGGGTGTCATTAACGTGTACTAATTTTGGGTGGTCGGATGATATAAATAATGAGTACCTATGAATCTTCAGGCTGGCTCGTACCATTATTGGACCGAATAGCTAGAAATCCTACTACAGTAGTCTGTCCTGTCATCGATTCGATTGACGACCATACTCTTGAATATAAATTTCGACATGGATACCCCAGTGTTGGGGGTTTCAATTGGAAACTAATGGTTAGTATTACAAAACTCTTTTCGAATTAAAAAAAAATACCAAGTTACTGTAATTTTAACAAAATTAAAAAAATTCTTGAATCATAATTCATTTTCATATAATATACGAACACACGAATTACGTGTACAAATGTAAGTTGTTTATTTAAAGAAATAATAAATGAATATTAACAATTTAAACTCTGACCATTAAGATACTCACCTAAAACTCTCAAGTGATATTTTATTTAAAGGAAATTGAAGCAAACACATTTTTATAAAATAACTTTAGTTACCAAATTGATTTAAAAATACCACTCGATATGTAACTATATAATTAAACGTTCCAAATTGATAAAAAAAAATAACAAATAAAACATTAAAAATCTTAAATACAACATTTCCTTCTCTTTTTTATATGATCAAAGCTTTGTTATAGGAGTAAAACTTTTAAAATTGAAAATTTCTTTTGTTCGTGATTTCAAAAATATAATGCAGCTTAAAAGTTATAAGTAACATAATAAAATCGCTAAAATCTATTATTGTGTCGGTTGAACGATTGATTCGTTAAAAATTTCACGAATCATTTCAAATATGACTACAGATTGAAAATTAGTTTTCAAATAAGACAGTCGATTACTTTTTTTTAAATTTATAATGTTAACTCTTATACCTGCTCTCGCTTATTTTATCTACAATAAAAGTTGTTTTTTTTAATAAAATACATTTTTTTTGTCTAGAATATATTGTTTTATTTATGTGTAATTGCATTAGACTAGAAAATCAGGCTTATGTGCCCTGAACTAATTACTATACGACTAAACTGTGTTTCAGAATTTTAAACTTTTCAACAACTTTATTTAGCTTGTTTTACATATACTCTTGTAATTACCCCAGTCTAATGTTGATGGCAGTCAAAATTATTACGCTTGAATAAAAGTCGCATCCGCAGCACGTTTTTTATTATTTTTTTCGGATGAGTCGTCTGAGTTACAATGCAATAACCATGGTAACTGTCTCGTCGTAAAAAATAATAATTAAACTATGACATTTGATCGGTATGCACGAGCTGCCCCTTCCACTAGTCCCTGTCACAAACTGCTTTCTCAACTCCAAGTGTGTGTGTTTTTTAATTGAGCAGACGTGTGTTTTTCCACAGTTTGAATACGCGCTGTCGTTCAGAAAAAGCACTTAAAAAACTAAAAGAACACACACGAGTGAAGGAGAAGCGAAAAACGTCATTTTCCTGACGCTTGTGTGTGCCATATAACGACAGGGTTATTCACTACAGTCCTTCACCGAAGCGAAAACGCTCATAGTTGTAAAATAATAATGGTAATTATTATTGTTACTCGCTCTGGAGAAAAGCTTTCATAATGAGCTCAGTTTTCCATTACCTCAGTTCTTTTGGCCGCCGAAAACACCATCAAATGGTTATATTATTCAAAGACGAACGACGATCGAGAAAATAATTACCACACAAAGTTGATTGTGTTCAATTTTATTTCTTATGATAACATGGCGCTATTGATAAATTTCATTTGATCATTTGCGAATTCGCTTTTTTCGGTCCCATCCCATCCGCCTAACTATAAATTTCGATCCAATCATTTTATATTAGACCCATTTTACCAGCCGTTAAGTGCCGTCGGTGGTAAGTATATGTGTGTAGTTTTCCCAAAAGGCTTGTAAAACTATATGCTACGGTAACCACGACCTAAACCAAAATGATGCGACACGCGGCATTATCTTGAGTATACACGCACATAAGAGTTACATAATATATTATACATGATGTATAAACAAATAATGTAATGCTATTTAGGGCTAAAAGTATAGGAAGTACATTAATCGTCAATTGAATAATTGAGACGGATTGGTTACTCGTGTAATTGATTTTTCGTTGTTATTTTTAAGTCAACAAGTTGCTGTCTGTAATATTTAAACAGTAGAAAACTGATCAATATCCCGTTCTTTATTTTTTAACTCTATTATCATATGTATTTTTTATTTCAAAGTAATTTACAACGTCAAATTTATAACAAAACGTGTGTAAGTTCATTCGAATTTCAACGATGAATAACACAAAAATTTAATTTGTAATTATGAAGTAGACAAGTTAAACAAGAGTTGTTAAAACTTTTAATAATTTCACTAAGGTGCAAAATGTTCGATAGCTGTAATATCGTGAGTGTTCTCCCAAAAGAAGTAGGATTTGTTTTAATCAAATTTCTAAATGTAATGTGCAAATATACAAACATTTTTCTTTGAAAAATAATATTACTTGATTTATTACCTGTCTACGACCTAGAGATTTAATAGTTAAAATTCAATTTTATAATAGACGCATTATAAAATTTATCTTTTGACAATTTACTTGTTGTTCAACAAAAATATTATCGTATTTCAAAAAATAATTACTTAAAAATTCAAAACTATAATGTTACAATGTTCAAAGGCTTATTTTTTTTTTAGAACTGAATACACCAACATTTTAAATTACATTTATTTGTCAACATTCTAAATTCAACATTAATATTCTCATATAAAACGGGCCAAATAATCGTTGAATTAAAACTTGAAAATATTATGATTATAATGCATTAATAATTTTCATAAATATTTATTTTATAGTTTAATTGGCACGTTGTGCCGGAAAGAGAGAAAAAAAGGCACACTAATCAAGCAGAACCAGTTTGGTCACCCACAATGGCTGGAGGCCTATTTGCTATTGACAAGAAATTCTTTGAAAGACTGGGCACTTATGATAGCGGTTTTGACATTTGGGGAGGTGAAAATTTGGAATTGTCTTTCAAGGTAAAAAATTATGATTATAATTGATTTCTAGTTAATAAACTGCAGTATAGATAGCTAATAGTATTTTCTGTTTGTGCTGATATTTATATCAATAACAAATACATTAGATTCATAGTAATAAATTAGGACAACTATTGTGTAAAACTAACTCGTATTTTTAGACTTGGATGTGTGGAGGTACCTTGGAAATCGTACCGTGTTCTCATGTCGGTCACATATTTAGAAAAAGGTCACCTTATAAATGGAGATCTGGTGTCAACGTGCTCAAGAAAAATTCGATTCGGTTAGCTGAAGTCTGGATGGACGATTACGCTAAGTACTACTATGAAAGGATTGGACGTGACTTAGTAAGAGTGATTTGGACCCACCTATTTGATTTAAATCTTACTTTTATTAAGTTGGAAAAATTACTTATTCATTTATTACCTTTGTTAAAAAAGAAAATTTGTCATTTTATCAATTTTAAAAGATTTTAGTAAAAAAAAAAAAAGAAGGAAATATTATTACAGAACAGTGTCCAGGGTAAAGTTGTGATGGCTATTTTATGAATTATACTCTTAGTTTTCTCAAGTTTTAAAAAAATATTGCAACATATTTGTACATTTCTGTCATATAGCTAAGTATTTTGTTCTCCTGAAACTTTTTGTGTAAGTAGAAAGTATATCTAGTTTTCTAAGTATTTGCTACAAGGATTAACAAGTATTAATGTTTAAAAATAATTGTAATAATGAAAAAAATATGTACATAACATAGTTTTTAGACGTTAAGACTCAGAATAAGTTTTTATATTAAAGTAATATTATTGATAATTCCAAGTCAATTTCATAATTAATTTGATAAAATATTTATATAAAACACAAATATAATAAAAATTACTTAAATAAAACTTTTAACTTAAAGATATTTTATTTAATGGATTCAATTTTCAGGGAGATTATGGAGACGTAAAGTCAAGAAAAGATCTGAGAAAAAAATTAAAATGTAAATCATTCAAATGGTATTTGGACAACATTTATCCAGAACTTTTTATTCCTGGAGATGCTGTAGCGTCTGGAGAGGTATACATATATAATACAATGTACTCGTATATTATTCTTATATATGAGTGGAAATTATTTTTTCGGAGTTCGATAAAAACTGCCTATCATCATTCTCATATGGGCTTTGAGTTATTAAACAAATTTATTTTTCGAACTTTCTAGACGATAATTTATTTTTATTTTTGATTAGAAATGAAACTCAGTATATTTATCCGGACCATTAGTATAATGATTCCAGATAAAAGTGTTCATATTACAATAGTTCGTTTTGATTTAAAAAAACTATTTCAATGATATTCTAAAAGTTAATCATAAGTGTAACATCAATAGATTTCTTTTAATTTATTGATTTTCAGTTTTATAATAATACAAAAAAATACATTTAATGGCCAAAACATAACAATAGGGGCGTTTCAATTATTTCGTTTTTCACAATAATATTTCATAATGTTTATATTATAAGCACAATCTCATTTTAACGAGAAGGAATCCACGTAATTAAAAACTAACAAAAGTTTCGGACGTTATAATTATCATCGAATTTTTTAAATATTTTACTTTTCATTTAAAAATGTAAACATTTTTCACCAAAATAAATGTATATTTGGTTACGTGATCTATATAATATAATAAAGAATCATTATTATATTTTAATAAATACAGAGTGATTGTTTAACTACAACTCACGGAATATCTTCCGAAATATAAAACGTAATACAATTTTTTCTTTTCAGAAGTTAATGGTATCTTACGTTCTATTATTTTCAAAGAAACAATTTTGTTTTTTCCCACTTTATCTTTTGAAATGATATCAAATTTAGTTTTTAAATGGAAAATATGTTAAACCATCATAAAAACTAGAAATTATTTATCTAAACAATGGCTGATCGAAAACTTTTGAACGTGTATTTAAAAAAATATTAGTATTTTTATAACAAAATGGTAGGAATAGTGCAGTTCATTTATACTTAAAGATAAAAATAAACAGATCCGCGCTTCACCTATAGTCTTTGTATAAAAATTAAAAACTTCCAAAATACTGGTCAAAAGTTAGTATTGATCAATCATTTTATTAGATAGATAATTTCTAGTTTTTATGTTGGTTAAACATATATTTCTGTTTAAAAACTAAAGTCGATATAATTTCAAGGGAAAAGAAAGGGTAAGGACCATTTTGTGCATTTGTTGACTTGGCTGATTAGTTTGAAAAAAAAAAAATTATTATTTGTTCATATAATTGTTTCTAAATCACTAAATTATATTTATAAAATAACTACAATATCTTCGTATTGGGTGTATTAGGTACGAAATTTAGGATACGGCAACAAAACTTGTCTGGACTCTCCAGCTAGAAAAAGTGAACTCAACAAACCGGCTGGACTTTATCCTTGCCATAAAATGGGTGGCAATCAGGTTGGATTATAAGAGATATTTATGGCCTATTTGTCCGTAGGTTGAGCCGGTGTATAAATCAACATCTCTCCGTTTTTCCTATAATACATCCTTGAGTAAAACAGTATTGAATTGGCTATTGTTTCCATGGGTGGCCCCAGAAAGGAGACTGGAAGGGGGTGTAATAAATAAAAATAAGCGAACGATATAAATTTTATCAATGTAATACTGTACAATAGTTATTAAATTTGTATTTTTATTGACTTTTACTACTGTACACATTGACACCATTGACCTTTTCGGTACGTTTAATTGTTTCATTAAATTTTATAGATTAAAAACGAAATATCGAACATGTGCGTTGACGCAAATTCAGACAATAACAAAGATAATATTAATGTCAATGTGTGGCAATGCCACCAACAAGGTGGCAATCAGGTAAAATTAGTATTGTGTCTAAAACAAAAACCAGCTTAAACTAATTTAATTTATTAAAAAAAGGAAAGTTTTTAACAATCATCTTACTGTACTGTTTTTTTGGTGCTGGTTTTTGAATTGATGAGCTTTTAAATATCTGTCTTTTACGAATATACTTCTTAAATTTTAATACATTAATTACTTGAATTCACGCTTTTATATTGTAGACAAATATTTATTTCACGTTGTGGCTTAAAATTCAAACTTTAGATAACTGTATATCCCTAATGCGTTAANCAAACTTTAGATAACTGTATATCCCTAATGTGTTAAAAAAAGTATTTCTCTGAAAGTGAGAAAATATAAGTATTACTTTAACAACATTATCGTACAACATAGATATGAATATAACACAATTAGGTATCCTGTAATATTTTTTGTAAAACGCTCAAAAGATAGTGAATTTATATTAGATAAAAAGTGTACCATTATAATTTTCAAAATCAGTTTTTCAGTTACTTTTTCGTATCGTTTAAACTAAAATATTGTCTTACCTAATTAACTAATACTAGCAAAGTTGCATGCGAGTCATTTTACATTACTGTTTTTAATCCTTTTGGGTGTTCTTGTTTGTCATTATACTGACGACTTAGCACTTTTCCTTGCTCTTTTCTTTACTTTTACCTTGATGTTATCCATTTAGCTGTTGAATCGCACATGGCTGACCTGTTCTTATACAACCCTTTCACTAAGGTCTACGTGTAATCAATTATATTAATTATTTTTTTACTTAAATTATCCTACAGTATTGGATGCTTAGTAAAATGGGAGAAATCAGACGGGATGAATCATGTCTGGACTACGCTGGTACCGATGTCATCTTATACCCTTGCCATGGATCTAAAGGCAATCAGTACTGGAAATATAATGCTAATGTAAGTTTAATACAGCTGAATAACTAAAAAGGCTAAATTTTAGTTAGTTTATAGTTTATTTATTTTTTGAATAATGAAATAAAAATTATTATTTATTACTTGACTTATTTCAAATTAATGTTTGAAAAACTGAATATTCATTTTTTTTTATATTAGTGAAAAACAACTTTTTAAGTTTATTCTAGTTTATCAAAGAGATACATAAAAGTATTATCAAATGCAGTTTTATTGAATTATTACATTTAATAGTTTCATTAGCAAAAATGTGAATAAAAACAGTAATCCCATAAAATTTGTTCTAAACTTGATTTCATCAATATAATAAATATAAGGTTTTTAACTTTTATAGTTTCGAGGTAGTTTGTATCATTTTTTTCAACAAAAGAATAAAATGCATTGAATGACCATTAAGCAAAACTGTACTTAGTCAAGAAAAAAGTATGCTTTTAACGATAATTGTTTTGCAAACTATAATACTTTTTACTGCCTTTTATCGTTCTTGAGCGATTGAAAACGCTTTTTTTCTATAAACTTATATTGCGTACAAGAAAAATTATTAGACAAAACGTTGAACATAATAATTATTATTGAATAAAAATAAAAAAATTCAATGAAAACTGAAATTTAATTGGTTTTCCATTTGTAAGGTATCTACTGTAGATTCAATTTTATTGTTGACCTGATTTCATTTAATTGACATTAATTATTTTGTAAAAATAAAATTTATAGTTTTTCAAATATGGTTTACTTTATCATAATTTTATTTATTATTTGTCATAATCAATAACTAATTTAAATTAGTTGTTTATTATATTATTATAAACTTGATATTATGTTAAAAACTCAATAACCCACAAAAATAAATAATTTTTAGCACACAAAAAATTATTTATTACAAAGAAAATTATATAAATTGTATTTTTTTATGCTAAATACTTTTAAGGTAGCAAATAGTGACTTATATTTTTTAAAAACAATACACGTTAGATTAGTTTTGTTAATAAAATAATACAAAATCATACAATTTTAAAATAATTTTGTAATTAAATCAAAAGATAATTTCAAATTTTATAATCATATCATTAATATTTCATATTGGGTTACTTTTTATTTAGACAATTTTTTACGTACTGTTTATAGCCATTTTGGACATGAACGTTATCTAAATTATTTTTGTACTAACAAAAACAAATTTATTCTATGTTTAAAAATATACTTATTATTATATTGGACATTTTTTTATAAAATGGCCTCTTGAAGCAATTATTCATTTCAATGTAGTGTATAGTAAAATAATTATTAGAAATTATGAACCCCCTGTAAAAACATTATTATGTATGTCATGTTCTCCTCGAACTAATTCTAATCATTTAACTGTTTAAGTTTCAGTTTATGTTTATCGTTAAGAACTCCGTTTATAATATATCCGAATGTTAAAACGTATTTAGCCTTAGGTAACGTTCTAAAGCAAATACTGACTTTATCTTTGCCTTAATTTTCCGAACATGACATGCACAGAAAATCAATTGTTTGTTTAAACTGAATATTGTATAGGTGCCTACTAAAAGTAATGGTTGTTGGAGCTTTTATATAAAGTACTATCGAGAGTGTATAATTATTCAAAGTATCTGTCCATAAAACTAAGACTCCATGGCCCACCACATTGAACAATACACATTTGATAACACAGTAAACAACATATAAATTACTCGTAAAGTTTCTTTCTTGCGCTATTATTTAGATTTTAAAACATCTCGTCTAAAGAGTTTCGTGGATAATTGATTTTACCATTGTAAGATACAAACATTTGCATCATTAGGCTTTCCGTAGTTTTTGTTAACATTTTCACGTACACTGCAATAATTTCCTTATTCAACGTTAACGATTCACTACTTAGCTTTTCAAATGTTAGAAATAAACATAAACAAAGACAATAAACATTTATACAGTTGGAAATATTTTATAAGTCTATCTTTTAAGTTATTGTATTTTTACTTTCATTTTTAATTTCTTTTACCTTGGAAGAAAAACTTTTAAAACTAACATTTGGGTTATAGTAAAATATGTTTCGTACAATTTAAATATTCATACTGATATAATGAATCAAAAAGTTTTTTTTTTGTCAGCGTCACTGTCTTTTTAAAAGCTCATACATAATAAGTGAATACTCTGACTAAATTCAAACGTTGTCTTTGATCCACAGACTAAGCAGCTGAAGCACGGCAGCAGTAAAAAATGTCTTTCCATCAACGAATCCAGGGATAAATTGATCATGGAAGAATGCCACTTGTCACTAGCCAGGCAACAGTGGTTGTTCGAAAACTTCGACGAGTCAAAAGTAACTGAAGGACCTAAAAAACAAAAAGACTATTAATCGTGATAAAAAATCTGACTACTTAACAATGATTTTTTATTAGGAGGATCTAATACCCGTTAATGTAAACCCTCCATGATAGAGGGTTATTTGTGTTATTATTTTTATTGTTGTATTTGGACGTGAAAAGCCATTTAAATTTGTAGTAAAAACTCTTAAACAAATTTTGTAAATAATATATATATTTATAAATTTATGAATATTTTTTGTTGTATAAATATTATTATTTACTTATTATTATTTATAAATGTACTTAACAGTATTACAGGATAAACAATATACATTCCATTACATATCCTCAATCTATATCTTTTTTTATAATATATTTTCTAATATCATTTTATGTTGAAATTCTTTATAGAATTATTTGTTATTCTTTTTTTACATATCTAGCTCTCATGTGTATTTGTAATTACAATTAAATGTGAAAATTAATTTGTATTAAGCCATCAAAAATAGGAGCTCTCTTGTTATAAATTGTACTTTTTTTTTATGCATGAACAATATTTACTACTTGAATATATATTATACATTATACTATACATTTGTATACGTTTTTAGCGTATAAAAAGTTATTAATAAATTAAAATTTTTGTTCAATTCTTGGTGAATATTTTTTTATTGTGTACCTACAGATTGTTATAACTATGATTCCAATGTTTATTTACACTATACAGTTTAGTACAATTACCTACTTACTTCTACGTGTATGAGTTATATAACAAATGTTTTATTATATTTTATATTTTAATGATACAATTCACTCTATCAAATTATTTTTGTGTAATTGTCGAGCTATAATATTTATATAATAAAATCTATGAAAAAGGAAAAAAATAATACAACTTTTTATATGGTTTTAACTTAAATGTAACAATTTCAAGTACTAATACAAACGAAATCCGAATTTAACACTTTCATTATCATGTATGAGTATTTTTGTATGCTGTTGCCTTCTTTCTTGTTTTATTTTACATGAAATTAATATTTAATCAAATCTAAGAACATTCGAAATTATTTTGGACGAGTTCCCTTATACTTCACCTACTATTGCAGCCTTTCACAGGAAATTGAAGTTCTGAATAAAAAATATTCAATTGTAAATTTACTTTGTCCACACCATCGTGNTTCTGAATAAAAAATATTCAATTGTAAATGTACTTTGTCCACACCATCGTGCGAATGTTAATATTCGATATACTCTAATCTACATAGTTAATCAGAAAAACTTAAAACGCTACCACATTTTACTTAGTCTAAAGTACATGACTAAAATACGTTAAAAAATTTGAGTTTTCTTTAACGGTGCCTACATTATATGTTTAACAAATTAATGCGCTTAATCGTTATAAATGAACAATTTTTCTACGTTATAATCACATTTTTATTATTGTACTAAAAACTATTTGTAATTAATATGCAAGATTCATCACATAACACTCAATTCTTTATGAATAATGTTATATATCTGTCTTTTAATTCCATGTTAAATTTACATTCAACTTGTTAATCCTTAGACAGTGGTGTATAATTTTATTCAATAATTAACACACTGTCTTTGACGTTGCACGCTTCAGTAGTTTAAGCGTACTATACCTTTGACTCAGTTAAAAAATCATTTCAAGAGTTAGCTCTAACTTCTATAATTATAATTATGGTTACATTAGATGGAAATTAAAAAACACTAGTCAAACTATTCAATTCACTTAATAGTACTTAACTTTTTATTCGAACAGTTATTTACTCGTTTCATATAAATTGAACACTTTTAATTTAACTCATAAATTTAAGCGAAGAAAAAATATATCTCCTGATAAAAATTTTTAATTCACGTTTTCACGAGTAAGTGTAACTAAAAATAAATAAAAATTGTAAAACATTATTATAGACACAATTAGAATTTTTATGTATTCTTGAATGTGTATTATGCACCTTAAGTCGTATTTTAACATGTATTCCACTCTAAAATGCTTAACTCTAATGTGTTAGAAATACTATTTGAAACATAGTACCCTCTATGTGACTTGTTTGAAAACCATGTTCAGCACTTTTTGAAATTTTAATTTCATATATACCATGGAAATTATTATTGAAAACAATAATTAGTAAATGTTCTAAAGCGCGATTTCCTTTTGAATTTTAAATGAATTAATGACTTGCCATCCGAATCGTTGTAGATCAGAAACATAATATCATGTCACCAAACCATATTCCGTTTGAAGAATTAATAGTTAATAAATTAATAAATGATAGTTAATGTCATTCATGTCTTATAGGCCCTGGTACCATTTGTCTGGGATTTTTCTGTCCGATCCTCGTGGTACACGTTTCTAAAGCATTGTCTAAATTAAAATTCTAAAACTGTGATTAAACTTTGACTAATAGTATCAACCAAACGACAAATTTATTTCAACTGATGGCATAAATTATTTATTTATTTGTGTATTAATTTTTCGTTTAATATTAGAGATGAAAAAAAATTAACCTAGTTAAACAATTTTTTTCGACATTAAAAGTACATTAAGTTTTTAATGAATAAATAATACAAAGTTATTTAGAATTATTGTTGAACTGAGATACAAATACCAAATTTGACATACATCATTTTAATATAACTCATTAAAGATTTAATGAAAGTTTATCTATAAAATAGCAAACAATCTCTGTTAACAACTAATTTACGGAAAGACTCTTACTTTTCGTTCATATTCTTTATTTACCGTTAAAATCTCATTATTATATTTTTTCCTTGCAATTGTATCACTTTTGCACGTATTTCAAGTTAATTTGTGCTATTTAATATATCGGCTATATACATAATGTTTCAAATATTATATTTGGTACTGTTAAAGTCGATTAAATTAGTGAATATTCCTTTGGTTGATTTTGGTACAATACATTTCAAATGATTTAGTTTAACGTTTGTAGTGAGTTTGTCTTGTAACAAAAACTCAAGAGACTCGGGAGTTGGAAATTAAATATGGCCAACGGATAACTCAGTGGGAAAGGTCTCGTCCGTATAGTGGGGATTTCAATTTCTAGTTCACTGTTATATTTTTTCTTCAGTTTTCGAGTTTCTAACAGTTCTTAACAAGTGTTCATCTCATATTCATAGTTCATTACAACTTGGTTAGATGTACAGCTTATGCAACACAATCATAAATTTGAAAAAATTGTACTAAAAGTCTACTGTTGCAAGAGAACAGATATTTGAATCAATCTAGGAAAAAATCCTAATATTTATTCCAGACAAACAAAAACAAAATAGAAAATAGAAATTGATCACTTGTGGCTATATTATTTCAAATAAAATACAAATCTATGATGAAGACTTTATGGTATTTATTGTTTTTTACAAAATTAATTTAAAAATAAACAACGTAAAAAATTTCGAAGTTTCTCTATAAGATATTGACAAAAATAAATACAATTGCAGTTACTAAAACGTAGTTCAATACATCACAACATCAATTAGAATATAAAACAAGAACATAATTATGAAATACCAATTATCCTATAGTAGTTTAATTGTACATAGTTAAGACTGCAAAAATAAAGTTATTATGATTAAAATAATAATATAAAAAAAAACGAAAAAATCAAATACGTAAAAGAATATACAATGTATTTGTAAAATATTTGACCAATAAAATTATATATCATATGGAAATTGAAGAAAAATATAAGCCTGAAATTTAAACCTACATCGAAATAAAAATATTTTTTAAAATGAGAAACTTAAATCAACATTCATACTTGTTAATAAAAAAATGAAAAGCGAAAGCACAACTTCAAAGAATAAAAAAAAGCTAAAAGACTGATGACATAGGAAATAATATTCGTTTTCAAGTTTTTATATTTTATTTTTACTTAAACTTTGTAGTTATTATTATGTAACATTGATTTTAAATTAACTATTCTGTGACTGTTTTTTTATTATAGAGTCATTAATAAATAGTATTATTATAAACAATTTGTATTCATTATAGTTATTATTATAAGGAAAAAAAAATTAAATGTACTTTATTTTGTCTGAATTTTATATCATTTGAGTTTCATTAAATATGTTTAATAATTATAAGTATGTTTATCATTTCTCTTATTAGCATTTGTATATTATTAACATTTTAGATTTATTATTATGTAATACAAATTTAAATGTATTATACTTTGATTGAATTTTTTATCACTATAGTTTGTAAAATATCTATTATTTATGATTATGTTGTAAATTGTAATTATAAATTATTAAAATGTAACATATTATGAATTTTAGTCTGAAAAACTATGAAGTACTATTCTTAAGATATAATTTTCGTCTTAAGGTACTTCTTAACACTATTTGATGTAGTAAATATGGTTGATGTAATTTATTTTTTAACAAATATATAATTTAAGTATTATTCTAGAAGGTACATCTCAAAAAAAATAAACTTATTACTTGTATTTAAGGAGAAATAGAGTAGATTTTACTACAAAATACGTATATACCATTTTGTAGGCACTCTGTGGTCAAAGGGCTGAAAATTGGGCAAGGTTCGATTTAGTTTACTTAACTATGGCAAACTTGAAGTGACCTTTATAATTTTTAAACCTTAATATCATTAACTAAAATATCATTTTAGTGTCTTCATCACTAGTTATTAATTTTGTTATATACAATAATGTCTGTAGAGATTTCATATTTATTTTAAAAGATAAGTGATAGTTGGTGACTTAAAAAATTGTTATTATATATTTTTAATTAACTTTTATTACAATATAGCATATCATACCTCAAATGTCTTGTTTCTTTATCAGTATTGTACGGAATATTTATTACGGTATGATGTCTGAAACGAATCTTGATATTTGAACGGTAACTCGATTTAAAACAGTAAAAAAAGTTTACTGTGTAAATTTTTGTTTGTGTTATTTAAGTAAAATCATCAAACTCGCATTTTTTGTATGCATAAAATCATTAGAAAAATTATACTTTACATTTATTTTTTGGAACGAAAAAACTTAAATTGTTTTAAAAGAAACTTTATTTTTATAATTTGACAGCTTCTTTTTTTAATAAAAAATATATAGTATTCTATAGATAGCACTTACCTACACCTCGCTTCATTTTTTTAATGTATTAACCATTGAACACTTAATAGAAATGTTAGGGCTATATTTATAATTAATTCTTATGAATATATTGTATTTTAGCTATCTAAATAACATGCTTAAAATTAAGTTAATCTAAACTTTTTCTTAAGAATCAACCCATTAATATGTTCCTTCAGCTTCTTAATAACTGGTACATTGGCTTTAAACACAGTTTACTCTTTTGTTTAGAATTATTCAATTTAATACACTTTTACCCACAATTATTTATAATAAATGTATTTATTCAAATAAAACTTGTTTTGTGTAATTTGAATAATTTTTTTTAATGTTCAATTTCGATAACTTTATTTTTTTGCTCATCAAAGTTTTTTATTAAGTTAAAATTTTTTGAAATTTAGTTCATTTATGAGTAAAAAAAGTTATCACAATATGTCTGAATAACAACCCACTCTCTCCATGAAAATTTTCTGGTTATTCTACTGACTAATGGTATAATTCAATTTAAAAGTTTGTCATTTGAAATCTAATGTTTAGTAAACCTTATATTTCTGTGATTAACAATACTTTTCATAAATTGATTTATTTACTAATGTAAAAATATGATTTTGCAATTTCATTTAATAAAACTCAATGTTATTTTTAAATAATCAACGTCCAATTTATTTAATTCAGTTTTTCATAGTATTATACATTTATTTTTCAGTTGTTATGGTATTTATTGTTTGTATATTCTAGTTTTATAAATATAAATGTACTATACATTTTCAATTGATGCATTTTATAATAATGAATTTAAATTGAATAACATTTTCTAGCAATAGTGAAATAAAGTAAATGTTTCAAAGTAATTAACGTGCAAAACGGTCACACTGATAATATAGTAAGTATAAGAGCAACTGATATTCCTATCAGTAAATGCGCAGTATCATAGAGATAAGAAAATTATTATTTCTTTCAAATTTTAACAATTTAAAGCGATAAGAATTAATAGCCGATGTTATTTATATCGTTTAAAACTCTATTATATTCTTTATGTTTTTTCCGTACTTTAATGGCAAACTATAGTAGTGTATCTTTTACTAACTTAAAAGGTATATATTATGTAACACGTGTTAATGGTTTTTTTCACATTCGCCATGATTGTGTATATAACATAACCAGTAACGAAATTTGCTCGCTTTCACCCTTCTTGTTGATCAAATTGAGTTCAGCATAAGTATAAGCCAAATTTCTCAGTTAGTAATTATATTTTTATTTGTACTTTTATTATTTTGAAACACATAAGGCATCTAAGGAAACAAATTTTTCTATAAATATTCTAAAGTTTTTAATATATTGAATAAACAATTTTTATCTTATTTCAATAAAAAAATTTCCCTTTTATTTTACAATAATATACTATTTATTAGTGAGTAAGCTTGTTTTTTTATGTACTTAAATGTTTATCCAGATTAATCCAGACAACCTTTCTTTCTCAAAAGTAATTTCAAACCGGATATTTAAAAACTTAGTAAATTATGACTTAATTGTTTTCAAAAACTAATTGTATTTCTATTTAAAAAAATTGGAGCTTGTATTGTTTTCTTTTAAAGATCTTCCATACTTGCATACTCATTTGATTTTCACTATTGAAATGATCCAAAAATATAAACCATTACATTATTATGATTTGATAATATAATAAAAAAATTATTTCAAGAAATGATAGTTTACTATTTTGTAACTGGATTTTTAAATTTCTGATAATTTTTTATTCTTTTAGATAAGATGGTTAATTTTGAAAAGGCTGTAGCTTACCCATACATTGGTTGTATGAGTACACCTAATAATGTTATTAGTAATGAACCACAAATGGCCATGGCTAATACCGTTGGCCAGGTTCCACCAAACATGCAATACTCTCCTCATATGACACAATCTTTACAAATGGCAGAATCACCCCCACAGATAGCGTTAAACTGTATTACACATCATACATCCAATAGACCACCATCTTATATCTGTGGAAGTTATGATGTGAATCAATCATCTAGACCAAAGTTCAAATCATACAGGTATAAAAAAAGGTCTCCAGAAAAAAAAGAAATAGACTATGTAGCAAAACTATCTGTAAGTAAAAATAAATATTAATTGTTAAGAATATACAAATAAATTTAAATGAAAAAATTTATGTAACGAATGGTGTAAAAAATTTAAATAATTTCATTAAAATACCTTTAATTTAATTTTTGTGATATTACAAAAAATTAATTAATATTTTTGTTTTCCTGTGAAAATTAAAATATATAACATTCATGGTTTTCGCATAAATAATAAGTAATATCTAATTAGATTTGTATAATTATTTTTGAAATGTTAACGTTTCAAAGATATTAGTACAATAATAAAATTTTGCCTTATCACAAAAGTAATTGTATTTTATGACAAATAAAACTTAGAAAAATCATTACTTAATTTAAATTTCTATCAATTTTTTATTCATTGATTACGTAGATTTGTTTATTTAATATTGTATAATTATACTTTTAATTTATTACTATTTTTTTACTTAGTTTATATTATATTTTTAGGAACTAAAGTTAGATGAAGAAAAATCCCCAGTTGCTAAACTAAATGAGATTATGGCATTAAAAAAAATGACTGTGGAGTATACTTTAGTGTCTATGTCTGGTTTAGTGCATAATCCTGTTTTTACTTATCGTGTTAAAGGATGTGACATTATTGGTATTAAAAAAATAAATATTTTTTTATAAATACAATTTATTCTTTAAATATTTAATTTGCTTAGTTTATGGTAGTGGAAAGTCTAAAAAAGAAGCAAAACAAAATGCAGCTGTTGAATTTTTAGAAAAGGTTGATTCCATTAACAATCAACTATCAGATTCTTCATCTAATAGAACTATAACATCAACTACACACAATCGTCTTTCTAATATAACTATGTATGTTTTATTTTTGAGAGTGATTATTAAATTAAGGAATATAACTTTTAAATTGCCATATAACAATTCAAACTTATTTATGTTAGTTCATAATATCTAAAAACAAAAGATTATAGTTTATTAAAAAAAAAAAAAATAATTTTTAATTTTAATTAATGTAAGGTTTTTTTTAACTGTGTAGAGTTTATTATTAAATTGGGATTATTTCAAAATTTCATTATTTTAAAAAAATTTTTTTGTTTTAAACATTGCAAGTATAATTTACTACAATATCCATTTGCTGTTTAATATAAAAACTTATATTTTATGTACTATTTTTGTTTGATGACCTCCATTTAAATGTTTGGGTTCTTGTAATTGATAGTGTAAGTTGTGTTTAACCTTTTGCACTACATTATTGGTTATTGTGTTATTATTGTCCTGAATCTTTGTTTAAAAGCTTAGACAATTTTGAAGCCAAATATAAGGTACTCTGCATTAATATGAAAAAGTTTGTCTTTACTATCTTGAAAATAGAAAAGGTNATGAAAAAGTTTGTTTTTACTCACTTGAAAATAGAAAAGTTCTGGTTTAACCAATGTACTAATTCCTAAAATAATGCATTCAAAACATGATTAAACAATATCCATTATTATATTGTGAGAGGTCTTGCAAAAGTTTCGGTAATGACTATAAAACTCAAAAATTTCAATGGAGGTAAATGTAAATAGGGAATTGTATTAAATAAGTAATTGTTTTTTGTATTGAACAGAAAGTTATAACTTTATAACATATCTGTATTAGAAAGAACCATAATTAATTATTTTTTTAAAGAAAAATCAAATAATAAAATCATTCTTTTCCACTGCTTGACTCTGAAATTATTTAGTTAGACATAATTTAACTTATTATTATTATTATAATGCCAGGATAAAATAAATTAATTGAAATTATAACTATGAAAAACTCTAAAATATAATACTTATGTTCAGGTTCTAATTAAATATGNTAATACTTATGTTCAGGTTCTAATTAGACATGTCTGTTGTTAAATTAAAATATCATTATTTAAAATTTACTATTGTATAGAATAAATTAGATCTAATTAACAACTTATTTAAGATTTTTTAAATTATTATTTTGAATAATTGTTATTAATTTTTGATTAATTAATTAGATTAGAATACTTGCATACTTCAACATTTTTTGANATTAGTTTAGAATACTTGCACACTTCAAAATTTTTTTAATATAAATAAATACTATTTAAAATCTTAATTGAAATTAATTAACAATTAGTTAACTGAAAAAAATTTCAATTATTATAAAAAATATTGATTTTTAGTGAAGATGCCCCAAAAAATATTTTGGAAACTAAGTCTGATATAAATCCTATTGGAGTACTTCAAGAGTTATGTATGGCTAGAAGATGGCAACTTCCTGAATATGATTTTCCATCTGATGATTCAGGGGAACCACATAATCGATGGTATAGAGTAACATGTTCAATTTTGAAGTATAAAACTCAAGGTACAAAATCTATGATTTAATTTAATGTTTATGTTAATCATGGACCATAATTATAATCATTTATAGGAGAAGGAAAAACAAAACAAGGAGCAAAACGACAGGCAGCACGTCTGATGTATGATCAGGTAAGANCTGATGTATGATCAAGTAAAAAATTTGTCACAAGAAGAAATTGCTGCCCTTTGCTACAATGAGCCTCCTCAATCAACTAATGGTTCACCCCAAAGTAGTGAGGCAGATGACCATAAAAAGAAACCTGCACAGTTCATTTCAACTGATGCTTTAAAACAAGTTGAAACATTCTTTAATCAATTAAAAAAATCTGAGAAATCTCATTTGAGTTCTTTAAATGTAACCAATTTTTATTATTGTTAATAAAATAAATCAAAAAAAATCTAAGCTATTAAAAAAAAATTGTTTTATAGAATTTAGAATCGTTAAATGACTTGAATACAGGAGCTGTTGAATTATTGGATAAAATTGGAGAAGAAGAAGGTTTTCATGCGTCATATGTTATGTTGTCAAAAAAAACTGGTAAGTAAATTATGTAAATCACACGGGTGGTCCTTTAAGATAAGATGTATAAAAAAATACCAAATAAGACATTTTGTCACAACCAGTGAATATACCTATCTTTTATTAAATTTTTAAAGTAAAGAGCAAAAAAATGATCTACTATATATGAATTTTAAGCGACTTGTCATTTATAAATTAATAATGTTCAAAATTGTTCACTAAATAATAAAGGTTTTCAGTATATAAAAATGTCAACTATAGTTTGTTGGTAAACACCCCTTGAGAAAATTTTTCTAGGACCACTTCTGAATCTATGAAATACGTTGTTTTGTTTTATAAATTATTTTAACTTAACTTTAGATAAAGTTGGCATTATGGTACAAGTTTCTATTAATCCAGTAATGGTGTATGTTGGTTCTGGTAGATCTATAAAAGAAGCCCAAGAAGCAGCTGCCTTTGCAGCTTTAGTATATTTTAAACTTATGTTAGAGAAATAAACTATCAACCCAACCCTTTATTAAGAAATTCTACTATGATTATACTTATAGTATACTTTGTTTTTGAAATTTTATTTTGTCTGAAATAATGTAATACTGGTATGCTTAACAGTTAATATAATTAAATTATAGAATTGTCTAACAATTATTTTGTAGTTATTAAACTATAATTTCAGATATTGAGTGAATTACTAATTTATTTATCTTTTTTTCTTGTATTAATATTTTGCAATAGTGAAACAAAACTGTTTATTTGTCTATATTTGTGTATTTATTGTCATCATCATAAATATATTATAGAATACTTGACTTATATTTTGCAAATAAATTAAACTAATAATATAAAAAATTTTCAAAATATTCAAAATGATTCTTAAAATAAAATAAAATTAAAATAAAATGATTCTTTACAATTAATTAAATTATAATCACAAATTTAATAATACATCAAATAATATTTAAGTATACCTCCTATTATATTATTTTAATCTAGTTTAATGTTACTATTATGCCTGTAAAATTTTAAAAATACAATATTTTTGTTGCTAGCTTTCCAAATAACTATTATTTTGTTACACTACATGTTGAATTTGTTTTTTATTTACTTTTGAGGGAAAGTAGTCCTTACTATTATTTACAAGAGATATTTTTCTTAATTGATTACACGTTGCATTCATATTGTTATCAAAACAATTTTATTTCTTGTGTACAAAATTAAAATACTTTTACAAAATAAGTGTTTGAAAAAGGGATCCTNGTGTACAAGATTAAAATATTTTTACAATATAAGTGTTTGAAAAAGGGATCGTTAGCTGCAATTATTTAATTTTTACTGTGAAAATTAATAAAACTCAATTCTAATAGTAATAATAATTATCTACACTTATATGTATGCTAAGAAAATTTGTATTATTTGTTAACTCAATTTCTTTAATACTAGAATGTGAATTACTATTTGGTATTTTATGAGTAGTTTTTTATTTCAATCTAATACTAAATGTCTGTAAAATAATTTATTAGAATCAACTTTTTTCATTCTTTGGGATGTAACTTTAATTAATTTATTAAATAATCATTAATGTTATAAGATCACAAGACCAGTTTTTTCACCAATATTATTTAAAAACGTTGGATTCACATTAACAATTATGTCATATAATTATTCTTATATAATAATTGAAAAAGTTCAATATTTTAACTATTTGCTAATGTTACCATTTTTTATTCACTATATTTAATACTTTTGGTTGTGATTATTTCTATAATTATTATACTATACTATAGTATTTTTTGTACTTGTAAATTAAAATATAGAACAACGTTTTGATATTTGGTACGTTTATTGTTTTGCTAGAAATAATGTATGACATGCTAAGTACAAAAATAGTATCAAATATTTTTATGCTCATAGTCTATTTAGTTATACTAAATAATCGATTTATAAAATCACTGGCATATAATAACTAACTCTATTATGTACATTTAATAAATTACAATTTACAAACATTTTCATTATATTTGTCAATTATCTAATATTGTTCGTTTGCGACAGTCATCTGAATTTGGACTAGGTGCACTCTCTTCGTCTCTGCTGTCAGGTTGCTCTTGTCTGTCCCGCGTTCTTTTAGTTTTTGATGTGTTTCCTGCACCAATGTCAATATTTGGTATAAAAAGCCTCAAAGCATTGGGCCCCGTGGGGAATTTAAACATCGGGTCATCTGTGCCTGTTTCAACAATCGGAGGAGGTATTTTGATAATTGGATTTGTGGTATTCATCGTAACTTCTAGTGAACGCTGAGTAACTACTTCTTGATGTGTGTTAAATGCCTTTACTAGCTGTGCTACTGTAAACCTGTAACAGTATAAAAATAATGTCATAAACGTAAAAAAAGTCTTGTTAATTAATTAAAAAAAAAAAACTGAAACTGATTATATTTAAACATGAAATAATTTTAAGTTAATTGAGATTTCCAATTGTTTTTAAATTTAAATAAAAATGTATGAGTTAAGTCTTGTTTTTAAGAACTGTCAAAAAAAATTGTGATATTGACTATGTTACCTCAAATGATATCAAATCGGTAAGATGATATTGTCCCTTCTTATTTTAATAACATTCCATTGATATCATATATGAAATAATTTCTTTATAAAGAAGAACTAAATAATTTTTACTAGTTTTTCAGTAAATTTAATCAACGCAACCAAACATTATTTGAGAGATATTATTATTTTATGTAATTTGGGGACTTTTTTCTTGATTAAAAATTACATTGCACCATTTTTTTTTATTTGAGTGGTTAAAATTTAATTTTTTTGTTTTTATCGCTAAAAATGTATTGCAAAACTAAAAAATTGCTAACCATTGAGTGGTACAACCCCAACATTGGTCCACTGCATTAAATTAAATTTATATATAATATGATTGATTGATTTTAAAAAAACATTACATTGTTAACGTTTTTCGTATTTTTACTTTGTACTTATACATTTTTAATGTTAATTTTCTGATCAAACTATCTATTAACACAAGTTTTATGTCTGAATAAATAAAATAAAATGTATGAGTAATTGGAAATCTGCTAATATAAAATTATTAGTAAACGTGTTTATAATATGAGATAATAATTCAAAATACATCACATCGTTTTCTTTATACTGTGGGTTTTTATAAAGTACTTGTGTAGTGTAATTTATGTGAAATTGAGTAGGATGTTGGCCTGTTTAACTAAAAAATATTGTATATCAATGTATGAATATTTACCCGCATTAGACACATTGAATTATTTTTGAGTTAAAAATAAAATAGATTAGATTAACGTGACAAAAAAGAAATTAACACGTAAATTATTTATTTTACATCATAAACTCGTCAATTGTATAAATACTCAAAGAAAACAAATTAGTGCAATGTATTTTTTTTTAAACATTTAGGCAATTAATATTACATTTATAATTCATGTCTCTATGTGTATTATTATATTTTTATGTTATGGATACTCAAAGTCTAAAATAGATTCATGATGAACGGAGTCCAGAGATCTGTTCACCACCCCAAATACCATATTTATGCATGATATATTGGGTAAGACTCTGACACATATTCAAAGTACACATTATTCTTTAGGACTTCGTTTTTAGAAAAGTGATAACTATCTGCTACGATTCTAAGTTATTTCAGCTGTTTTCTTATAAAAAAATTTTTAGGGAAATAAATATTAGATGTTTATCATAAATTAAGTTTTTGGGGAAATTTTCATTGCCATAATTATTCCCTTCACTATTTATTCTATGTTTCTATAGCAGTATAATATGATTTATATATACCTAGGCTCTTCGTCTGAGTGGTAAAAGTGTTCGACACTACTTGTGGTACTACTACTGCTACTGCTAGCAGGTGATGGAGGTCTAGGGACTTCGCCATTTCTTTCTACATTCTCTTTATCGTCTTCTGTGGTACTTTCAGCTGCGTCAGATACATTTTCGGGTATATGACTTTGCGAAACCGATATATTTGCCGTTGACGAACACAATGAGTTTGGCAATGTTGACACTCCCGTCAGGCTCATCAAAAGGCTGCCGACCGTAGCAATTTTATCTACTTCATTTAAGTCTTTAATACTTTTGCAAACGTCTAACATGTCTTGTGACTTAGACAAGCTCTTAAGCCCGTAAAGTTTTTCTTTAGATTTGCTGAATGTTCTAGGACCTCCGTGTCTCGACCGGGACACCAACGACGTGTGACTCTCGCACATCCTAGCCGACACATATTGTGATTCACCAAGTAGCCCAAACTTTTTCTGTTCATTCTGTCGGATGTGCTTGGAAACGATTTTTTCGAATAGAGCTTCCCGTGACTTCGATAAGTAAGATTGTTGTAATCCAGTTCGCTTAGATAGTATCGTCGACGACACCGAATTAGCGCAAGTGTTGCAACCTGAACGTCTGGCGGGTACCGAGATGTTGATGCTCGACGATTTCCTAAGATTGGCCAACCAAGGGTGTTTTAAGCATTCCTTGGCCGTAAGTCTCTCCCTCGGATCTCTCACTAATAATTTCCGGATAAAGTCTATCGCCTCGGCGGACACGTCTTCAAAAAGTTCATCTGGAAAGTCGATATCGGCATTAGATATATTACAAAATGTTTCTTGATCTGTTTCGCCGCCGAATGGGCTAAAACCGGTTAGAAGAGCGTAAGTCGTCACTCCTAGAGACCTGAAATATTATATAAACCATATAAAAATGTCAACGTAAAAATAAATTAAAAGGTTTAATATTTACCACATATCCGCAGCCAATGTAATCGGTTCGTAGTGCAGTATTTCTGGAGCTGAAATTATTTTGGAGATTTAATTTAGATTAACAAAAACAGGCAGTTGAACTATATGCTACTTACCGACATAGTCAGGAGTCCCCAAAATCTCTCGAATTTCGGTACCCTCGAGAATTACTCTTGAAATTTCGAAATCACAGAGTTTAACATCACATGTGGGGAACGCGCCCATCAGAACTAGATTTTGAGGCTATAAACAAACAAAGGTCAGTAATTATTATGAGTCATGTCATTTAATAAACGTTATTGATACTGCATATGGCTCAGATTGTATGTTAAGTGTTACATAAAATCGCTACTTATAATCGGTCACGAATTTAACTTTTATTCTGAGAATTAATATTTCAAACAATGAAAAGCCACACGTGTTCTATTACTCGGAATGATAATAAAGTTGTCGTTAATACACGGACATCTTCCTAACTACGTTCAGGATCATATTATTAACCTTGATCCTGGCCAGTAATCCGGATAAAATATAGAAATCGTGATGTCCTGTTTTTACACATGTGTAAGGCATATCTAAAGCGCTTTTAAACACGAACACCACATTTGGACAGAGCGACCAACGCCACCCGAGCCAGCAGAGTGTTTTTTTATGTCTTTTTGAAACCTTGACACAGTTGCAGTAGACTTACTTTAATGTCTAGATGAGCAATTTTCCTTTGGTGCATGTACGCCAAACCTTCTACCACGTGATGAACAAACTTGACTACGTCACCCTCGAACGGCACGTTGTCGTCGTCGATGACTTTTTGTAAATCTCCGCCCGGAGCACTAGAATAAATAAAGAACATATTGATTAAAAGGACTTGTACGTGGGAACTATGCAATAGCTATTAAAATATAATTGCTAATGTTAAACCCAACCCAACTAATGCGAGTGCAATGCACTTACTATTCCATGACAATGATGAGCTGCTTTGCTGTTTGGAAAACGTCGTGTAATTTGGTAATCCTTGGCGAAGGCGAACACAGGGAAAGAAGAGCTATTTCATGATGTATATCAGGACTGCAGTCTTCACCGAACCGAGTGCGATTTGAAAATTTAGCAGCAAACACTTCGCCAGTGGCTAAGGATGTACAACGTCGGACTGAAGCGAATTGACCTCTGAAACAAAAATGTTGTTCTTGTCAAAAATGCCGATAAAAAATCAACAAAAATTGATAGTGTTTACAGTAAATATTATTTCCCCGTAAAAACGGGTTCGTTTCTAAAATTATATAATTTTTGTTCTGTTTGAAGTTCAAAACTTCATAGAATGAATCAACACTAAAAAAACCTTCCATAGTAGGAGATAATACTGAAGTAATAATATGGCAGTAACAATAGAATTAAATAAGCTACGAAGAAGATTCTAGTCGGTATTTTTATGGACGTCTTCCTACGCTTGGCTCATATAAGTGTACTGAGAAATTATTTGTTGCGTTTCATAACCAAGGGCAATCGCTACTGTAGTTCTCACAGTGATCTCATTAATTAACTACAACGATAAGTTTCCGTACTAAATCAGTGATTATGATTTATATAATTATTTTGTAATCGCAAGTTATTTAAAAACTGCTAAAATTATCAGTCATTATCAATGTGGAATGACTTGGACATTTTTTGGTCTATCCTCAGGCAAAGCCTACTGATTCTGAATAGAGCAACAACTGGCGCCACGAAGTTTTCTTTTAAGAAAAATATAATTCATAAATAAAATTAATTATTAAACAAGTTTCCTGGGCGTGAATAATAATTAAGTACACATGGCACTTAGACTTAAATATTCAAGAAAACAATGTATAAATATGACAAGTATAGTATCTCTTTTACACATTATAAAATTTATACAAGTCACATCAGTGACTAACACATTAAAAAAATATTATTATATTTTTAGAGAAAAAAAACATTCATAATGACTGAATAATAGTAAAAAAAAATTATAAAATTCAATATGACCAAGTGATTTGCAATATATTATATATGCAATATATAAAAGTTATATTACGCCCCATAACAAAGTTTGATACTTAAATTTGTCAATTAAATATTTTATTTATAAACAACAAAAAATACAGTAAATTATTTGTATATACATATATTTTCCATTAATTTCGTCTTTGATTAAATTAGCGTTAAGCACTTTAAAAAAAAAATAGAAACAAAGATAATAAACAAAAAATTAGTTAATTCTATTACAAATTAGCAAAAAAAAAATCAGTAAATAATATTCCATGCTATTTTATGTAATAACTATTATTTTTATTACACAAATAAAATTATAATTCAATAAAAATGTTTTATTTCTTTCAATGCCCTATCAGCTCATTTTATCAAGAAAAAACAATTAAAAGGATTAAAGATGCTGTTATGGATTATTTTATAAACAGTGATGTTGTACAAAAACTAAGGGCATACATTCCATTAGATTTATAAATACTAGATTGNAGGGCATACATTCCATTAGATTTGTAAATACTAGATGGACGATCCTTATGATCTCTTTTATATTCGATTTCTATACTGTAAAAAGAGAGAATATTATCAAAAAATAAATAATTACGCGTTTTTTTTATATACTTAGAGTATTCAGTAAATATGAAAATATATTAATTTTTATGAACAATGAAAACAAAAGAAACCCGTTTCCTTACATACTGAACACCCTATATAATAGACTTTATTATAAAATGTTACAGTTCATCGTTTAAACTTTTATCACAGAGAAATAATATTTTTCTTAATAATATAAGACCCAATTATAGACAATATAAAAAAATCTATACATAAGTTAATTGAAATGTGTACATATTAAATTTAAAAATTATAGAATATAACGGTTACGATAAATTAATATAACCTTTAAGAGAAAAAAAATAATATTAGATCTGATTAGTGTAGCTAGCAATTAAAAAGGAAGGATATAGTCGTAGTGATAATTAGAAGAAATTAGAGAATACCACCAGGTACAAAAATTTTAATATAGACGAACCTATTAAAGTCAAAGAAAGGACATCATAGTAAATAATAAGGAAAGTTACCAACAACTTCCTCTTCGTGTAGATGACTGTATGGAATAGAATTCAGAGCTACGAAAATTAAAAATAATTTAAAGATGGAAGCCGGTAAAAAAATTATAGTCAATTTTTAAGCGGGAAAAGGATAAAATAAAATTTACGGGGAAAGTCTAAATGATGAAGCCAAGAGAGTGTGGAATGATGAACAGGTGTCATTTGGAAAAATTTAATGCGACGGAAGACCATTTTTTGAAAACAGTATTTTAAAACAAATTAAAAGCATAAGAATTTAAAAGGTGAAAAGCAGGTTTATAAAAAAGTTAGAGGTATTTTTAGGCAAACGATCAGCGTTTCGTTTCTACAGATCCTTGCAAGTCCAGGAATTCAATAATTAATTACATGTTTTTTATACCAAATGGAGTAATTTTTTTTTATTTATTAAGGTATACGAATGTATTAGAGCGTAAACAAATTTGTTGTATTTTTATAGATTATACGTTAATTTTATAGATCTAAACTTGATGAACTCCTCAAACACCATTGGTTGTCATCTATTTTTACCCCATTTTATACTCGTGATCATTATTTTATGATAATAATTTATTTTCATTCAATCTAGGGATGCCGAGAATTTTTTCAATTATTAGTGTTAATTTTTTTTTATTGTTTCTATTGACTCAAGTAAAAGGTATTTTGATAATGTTCTAATGCGAACAAGGATATTATTATCGCTGTATTAACTTAAGTATTATGAACCGGTTAGTAGTGGCGGCTCCTTTTATTAATTTTCTTATTCCCTTTTGAAGGTTTTCATGGTTTGTTGTGCAAACTTTCGACTAATTTAATGAAATGAGTTTCTTCAAAAATATTTTTCGTAATGAGCTGTACAAATTATATTCTCTGTATAACTTAAGATATATAAAATATATGTCATAATGTTTTGTCAATCACTATTAAGCTATAAAATACTATGCGTTACTTTTTTTTTAAATAATTTCTGTGTTCTTAAACCACATAAAGTTAATATGTTTTTATTATTTGTTTTAAATAATAAAATTATTATTGATTATTATTGTTATTATTACTATTAAATTATTATTGAAAACAAATAATAAAAAATATATATATAATGTAGCAGAAAAATGCATAAATTATTAAAAAAAAAAAAAAGTAACGTAAAATATTTAGTTGATTAAAGTTAAAAAATTTGTCAATAATATCATAGACCATTCTGAATATAAATATGTAACACTTAATATTTGAATTTATTTTTAAAAAGAATTCTTCGCTATCTTTGCAATACTTTTACTTGTGTATTTCAAAATATTATAGTTATGTACAGTGTTCGAATTGACAAAAAATAAGTAGGGGAGCTCAACCTAACAATTTGAAAACTGCGTCCCGAAGACCTTTTTTTTTTTACTCATTACTTTATTTAGTGTTTATTAATAAATCATATTTCATTATCATACTATAATGAAATATGATATCATATAAATTATAAAAAATTATTTTATTACAATATATTTGTAATAAAATAATAAATAATTGTAAAATTGATCACAATTTAAATCTATATTTAAAAAAAAAATTCGGTCGTATTCTCCACTGTCCTCCCGTCCCAATAAAAAAAAGTAGTTGGGGTGCGCAAAAAAATAAAAAAAAAAGTAGAGGAGCTCCGTCCCCCTGCACACCCCCCAATCCAAGCACTGGTTATGTATCTAAACTTTTTATGGAAATAAAAAATTTAATATTTTTAATTAATTCGAAATAATAATTCAAATAAATATAAATATACCCATTTATGTATTAATGTGTTCATTTACGTTCGAAATGATAATACTAAAATTTTTATTTTTTTGTAAAAATGATAAAACATTGTTATTTTACGACTTTTATGTGAATAAATAAATTCAATAATTTTCTTTATTGCATTTGCCGTGTATATTTTACACGTTCGACCCTTCGAAAAGTTGGTCTAATAAATGTCTTTAAAAATATTTCACAAAATTTACAAGAATTCGTGAGGTATTTGCGCAACAAAGTTGCATAATTGATCTTTTCAGACGGCAGTTGGTATTTTGCGAAAAACATGAAAATCGAGTACCAGGAATTCATGAGTACGATGTGCGCGTTCCGTACGTGTTTCGAGAAGATTCGTTGAGGTAGTAATATTTTATAACATTATTTGTACAATTTGTCGTCCAACGTGCCATAACGCCTAGGCGAATTAGCTGAGAGACAACACGACGCGCCACTATACCGCATAGCGATAACCATAACCGACATCACGGTCACGTGGTTCTTATGGACTAAACTGAGAAATTTGAACATTATTGATTGTTTCTGTGGACTGCCGACGATTTATCGTTCTTAGGACAACAGTCACGGTATGGTAGATGACCACCGTAAAGTATTGCGGTTTGGAACCGTTACCTTAAAATTATATTAACGATTTGTAAAATGACAATTTTCTACATGCGACGAGGTTACACTATTTTAAAACAGCTTCGCAAATTGGTGAAAAATATCGAAATCCAACACCAGAAATTTATGAGGTCTAAGTTTCAGGCTAGTGATTTTCATGTGACCACCAGTATAATTCAATAACATATTGTATTATATTTATTGTTTATTCGGTTATAACCACTTGCTTGGTATTCAATGAGTACTAAAGTCGGCACTGAGTAAATGTTAAAAAGTTGACAATACAATAATAACATAGTTCACGTTTCAGCTTATTCCGATGTTAATTAGTATAATTCATCAGAGGAATTCTAAATGGTGTTGTTAGTACAAACGGATACATCAATACGACAACGTCAACATCATTCATTGTAATGACTTTTCGTATGCATCGTGTGCTAGTGTCATAATATTTCTTTATACAAATGTTGAAAAAGTAATGTTCAGTTCAAGTGATTTATTATTTTAGATATATTAAAAATTGATCCCATGTAATTTAAATTTTTAATCATTATTTTAGTTTCAAAAAAAAATTTATGTATATATTTTTTTTGAAAGACATAAATTTTTAAATGGGTCGGATGATAGCTAATTCTGTTAATTGAGTTTCCACATTTTGGTCAAATGAATCCTACTGAACTCGATCGATCGGTTTAAACAATATTTAATTAGAGTAAAATCAATAAATTACGCTAAAACATTTTTGTTAACGCTCCAGTGTGAGTGTTGGATTTTTCTTAGACTTTTTTTTAACAAAGTTTGTTTCGTGTGAATCGGACAACTTTTTGGAGGCGGGAAAAGCGTTTACATCATTGGCCAGCGTCGCGCTTACCATCTAGAGGACAACGTCGGCCGATTGGCGAGCGCGTGTCACACAAATCACTGCCAATGAAATTCCCATTAAAGTTGTACGTGTTTTATCACGTGCAACTTTGTGTAGACCAAACGGCAGCAGACCAACACAACGATGGAGCGCGTGCACTAGTGGTGACTTTTCGCTGCCATCCTTGTGCGGACACGTTCTGGGCGACAGGCATACAATGCAACATTACAATATCGCGGTGATCGCTGGCAAAACATAATTATTGTTCTTT